AAAAAATCCATTTTTTACGTGCGATTTCGCACGATTAATCGTATTTATTATGCATGATATCTCGATCTTCCGCGCCTCACACATAACCGCAGCATTATTGATTACGCTCTCTGTAATGAACGAAATTTGCCACTTAGCTTGACAATGCCAGAATGAGCTGTTTTATGATTCTGCAAACAGTATCCACATACCCAGGAAGGATTCCGATGATATAGACTTCGACTATGGATCGTATAGACGTGGATTTAAAATCATTTCTGGTTAAGGTTGTTCAATGCAGTTTCCCCCGTTTCACGTGAATTGGCGTATTACTCGGTAAAAAACTGACTGTTTCACTTGTGACTCGTATAATCTACCATGTCAGGCGTGTCGGTATGTGAGTTACTCCGGTCATGCTGACGGAATCAATTACACTAAGGCATATCTTCGAGCTATGGCATAGCCGCCCCGCAGTCAGACATTGTAATGACATGTCCTCCTCATTCAACCAATATAGAAAACAATAGGAAATTGGTTGTCTATTGTAAAGGGGCATTACGAAGGCTTATGGGAAAAGGCAATAAAATACGACTAATGTAGGAGGAGGAGGAGACATAATAATAATAAACATCATCATTTACAGCGAGGGTCCTTACAGCATCATAGAGGACTTCTTAGAGACTCTTCTAGAGTATACAAAGGTCTTACATATCCTACCACCCGATATCAAGCTCAATGATCATCAGTTGGAGCACATCCGGTACGTTTTTGTTATGAAACGTTATTTGATGGGGGATTAGAGTATACTGAAGTAGCCTACTGCACGAGAGGATGTTCGAGAGTCTCGAATCGAGACTGCCACTCAGGACGCAATATTACCCCTCGCAAGCTCGAGAGGCTCTCAGTGTGATAAGGGATCTATCAACTGAATCTGATGCCAACGATAGGCTCAAACGTTGGGCCATTGGAGCAGCCCAGTTGCTGTGCGGAAGCGGCGCGGACACGTCAGTCACGGTCAGTGGACGTTCTCTGGGGGAGGCCCTACTTTCGTTATAGCTCAGCTTGGGGGAATTGTCTCTAATCAGGTCGAACAACAACTCCTTATCACTGAGCTGCTCATCGAAGTAGCAGGAGATGCTGCTGTTGTACAAGACGTCCTCATCAACGCCGTTATTGATGTTCTCATGATGCATACTGCCATCGACTCGGAGCTCGGTGGACAACTCGCTACCGGTCAGACCTTCCTGGAGAATTTTGACTTCCGTGATTGCATTGAACATCTTTAAGGGATGACGTTAGGCTATGAGCCATCGAGGATACTACTGCTACTATCGACTCACCAAAAGAGTTGCTGTAGATTAAACGCTTTTGTTAGGTCGGACAGCATCATCATGCGAGAGTCTCCTCCCTTTATCGCGAGCCATTCATCGTCTTGTCGATCTCGTCGATGGAAGCAGATTGAGCTGCCATGATGACGAGCCAACGTGGATCGATCCTCTCAACAAGCTCACTAAAAGGCTGCTCACTTATAGAGAGGTACACCTCTTCTCAGCC